GTCCGTTTTCTCTACCTCAGCTCTACAAACCGCATATCACTCCACCTCTGGTTTCAGCCTGTCATTTCACATTATATAACTTGAAAGCACTCCAGCTGGGAAGCAAAAACATGACGCGTGTGATGGGAGATGATGAATGGTACTGAGGGGGGAAAGGCGCAGACAACCCCCTTTTTCCATCAGCCCAGCTAGCCTCTTATACCCGGCAGGTTTTTAATACAAGACTATAATCTTGTTGGAGTACAGAAAATGACATGCAAAATCAGTATATGGCTGCCAGTGTTTACTACCATGACTCTGCTCGCCTGCACATACCTAATTCTACCATCTAAGTTGCTCAGATCATACAGTGTAAGCTTTGTATGGTTTACCTTAACTACTCTATAATCCACAAGCAAACGCAGCCTGGAATGGCAAGCCTGTGCATACACTGTAAAGTAACATCATGGCCTACATCCATACAGTAGGACTGAAATCTTAAGTACAGCTTAGGTCTGCAGATATCAAACTTCTAGGTTACTCTTGGTGACGCAAGAGCATACACTGCTCTAAAAAAAGACATTTTGTAAAGTTAAATACAGACAGTCAAAAGAAAACCCTGCTCTTATAGTCACACCCAGCCGCACAACTCTCCTCCGAACACACACGTATAAATCCTCAAATCACTGCAAGCTTACGAAACCCCCCTACAAATGCATGAAAAAGGAAATTCTTGGAGGCAGATTAGAATTGTTCATTTCTGAACGGAAGAGATCTCTCTCTCTTTTTTTGAGAGCGCAAGGCAGGAAAGCAGCACCAGAGGCCCAGCCCATGACAAAACAAAGAGATTAAATGACCTGTGAATGTGACTTTCCATTTTTCCATTAGCTCCCACTCAACTTAAGAGGCCTGCTGCCCCCTTCTGGAGGGTGGTGAGACAATCAGGGCGCAAGATGTACTGTAATGCCTGCCTCCTTATTCATGTGGCTGTGATTTAAATATACCCTTACAGTCTTTGGGTTGATTAAATGTGCAACAATTACAGCTAGGGTTGTATCTGGACTCTAGATGTAATGGACAGCTTATATGCTGCAGTGTATGGGAAGTCAAAAGCCATATACTGTACACTGTATATAACACAACATTTTAAAAGCATACACACTTATTCAATATGTACGACTACATTTCTTTCTTTACTAATATCTTGCACATTCAGGGAAGATCTTAATTATTGCCTTTGAGTTCAAATAAATGGCTGAAATCTGCCCTCTTGATATAAAACACAAAAACAGAATGCAAATACGCCGGGCCCCCCTCTGAAGTGAGATTTCAGCGTTGGCAAGGGCCAAATGTCAACCAGCCCAAACAGATGGTGTGAAGAGCTGGGCCGAGTGGCTGACCTTGGTTGCTGGTGACTAGGGGTGGGAGGGCAACACGAGGCGCCCGGGTGTTTGTTTTTTTGCGTATCAGTGGATGTTGTGAACATCAAGAGAGCTCAGTGTTGTTGCCAAGATAGAAAGGTGAAGTCGCGTCAGGCCAGATTGCTTTGCAGGGGCTTTCTGGCTCTGTGGGATGCTGTCAATCTGTCACTGTGACAGAAAAATGTCAGAAATGGATGGATAAATGGTATAGGGACGGTTTTTACTCTTGATAACTGCTTTATGGGAAGTATATGGGCAAGGTTTTTCCAGATTATTTTTGCTAGCCATTCATTTTTATTTCTTTTTGGACTATTCATTTAATACATTTATTAGTTTTAATTATTATTTATAAATTGCCCAAGACAACATATTTACATTACTTCTGTGTTCAACCAACAGTCCAAAACCCACAGATATTCAATTTCCAATTATATAAATCAGAAAAAGCTAACATTAGGTAACCCAAAACCACTGAAAATGCTTGTCATATGAACTGACTTAAAAAGCCTATTTGATTAGGTTAAGGTTTTGACACTTGACAATGAATCGACTAATTGTTTCAGCAATAATTAATTCATTAGTATTTTATTTGAATTTATGATGACAATTTTAGCTTTGGAGACAAATTTGTTTTTTAAAGTATTTAATAATATTGAGTTTCAAAATTTGTTCTGATCAATCTCAATCCCCTTAAATCTCTTAAAGTGATGGGGAAAAATGGAAATGTGACTGTGTACAATTCCATGACAACTGGGTCAAACCCATCTGCTGTCAGAGGTCATGTCGACATTAAATTGACCTTAAAGCAGCACCGTTTTGTCAACCACCATATAATAAATGTACACTATACAACTTCAATGCAATTACCTTTAATATCAAGCACAAATGTAGTATTTAGTCTACTCGTGCTATGCCAAACAGGATTTCTTAAAGGTAGTTATAGATGCCAAAGAGTTCATTATAATGAGATCTTTAAGGTTCAGTTTTTCCCCCTTTGTCCATGCACCACTACCTCCTAACTACACTGTCTTCATTTCTGCCTTGTTACCAACTCATCTACAGTATATAGGAACCCCTGGGGTATAGCCAATATTATTAAACTGTGAAACAAGCAAGATTTCCATACCGACTAGCAAGCTGTTACGGGAAATTCCCAACCTCTCATGCAACTACAGCAATGTTTTTCATCTACACACAAAGAGTGAAATACCCCAATTTTTTGCTCTTATCACCACCAAGAAGAGGTTGAAGTTGTTGTTTTTTTTAAATCAGGGGATTTGTTCGTTTTCCTGTTCAAAAGAAAGAGAAAAACATATTCTATATTCAGTCTCTCTCCATTTCTGGTAGACTGAGTAAGGGGCTTTGAAGGGAGGCAGGTGGGTAGTAGATGGATAAGTGAAATTCACCTCTGCACAAATGCCTATTTCTTGAGAGAAGGCAATTTCCACCGGCTCCGTTCACCAGCACACAGCTATAGTCCAAGCTTGGTCACACATCAGTGCTTGTGAGGATGTATTGTCCCTGTGGTTAATTCCAAAAGAGAGGACAGTCCTCTCTTTGCAAGATTTTTCTAGGAGATGATTAAGTGCAAATGCTTCAGTTTGAGTATTGAAGTGATATCTGCTCAGGTCTCTATGCTGTGTTTAACGCAGTGACAAAAGGAGACAACTCGACAAGAATGGCGCCATTTTTCCCCAAAATGGCAAGACATTCTTCTTGGATACCTATGATTACCCTCTAAATGTGAGAGAACTTGAATCTACATTAACAGTGGTTTCTACAGGAATGGAGGGCTATAACATAATGATAGAATACTGAGGGAGCGTCACGTCAGAATATCCCTTTTCTCTCCCGAGTGGAGTGCCTCCTTTGATCATCAAATTGTTCTCCTGAAAATCCTCTCTGTTCTTGAATTATCTGGGCCGCTGAAGTGGAAACTGAATTTTCTGTGGAGGCCAAAGCTTCTTAAGAGAGAGGAAAAAGAAGGGGGAAACTAATAAAAAGGTGTGAAAATGACACAAATTGAATAAGCCTGCAAAAAATAAATAAATATGGCCCTATCCCTGAGTGTGACAGAAGAAAAGTAATCAAGGTCTTCAGACATTACAACAGATGAGGAATAACTCTCTTTTCCTTTCTGTCCACATATATACAAAAATAAAACAGAATGAATACCCAGTCTTATTGTGTTCATTCAACAGCATGTATTAATCAACCTGAAATGGGGTATTTTGAAATTTAGGGTATGCACTCGCTGTGTACAGCAATGTAAACACAATATTAAAGTCGCCAGAAAAAGTATTTCTATGACAGAAATGCCAAGCAGGCGTTAGCAAAGAATTAATAGATGGTTATGAAGCAAAATCATTTACCTAAATCCCTCCCAGTACACAGAATTAACTTATCGTATGGTACAACTGTTGCTGCCCTTGGACCTTGATTAAGGTGCTAACACAGGGCCGCTTGTCAGTCCTAATGTAAATTGCCTGTTAAGTACTGTCAATGGCACCCAGTTTAATTTGCCCAGCTTGATCACCGTTTGTTGTGGTTGCAGTTAAGTACACATTTTCATATTCATGCATATTCATACTGATTCATCCTCCTCAGATGCAGCTGAATTCATTAGGAATGCCTCCCCGTTAGCCAGCAGTAATAACAAATGAGCGCTGATTTTCCCCATCCGTGAGTCTTTCATGTTGGTTACAGCTTTGGTGAGGCTTCTGTTAATATGCCAACACCACAACAACCAGACAAATTTTCTATTTAGACATTTTCCTAGAGCTAAAATTAGTAAGCTAATGCAAGATACACATTGTCACCCCTGACAGAGCGGAGGACATTTCCACACCAACCATAAAAACAGCTAACTTGATTTGTGAAAAATTCGAACATCTCTGTAAACACATTTACAGCAACGCGACAACCTACTCACAAGCTGAACTTTTCCTGCCCTGCAGTAGGAGAACCCAGCAGACGTTTTTTTTTGTGTGTGTGCGCCTGTGTATGATTGTGCTTACCAATTGACATTTATAGTGGAAAAAGGAACAGGGAGAAGAAAAGGTAAAAAAGATAAAAAATAATAATGGAGCTCTAGCCATTCTGTTTACAGCCAGATATTTTGATAACTGCTGCCTGGTAAGAGGGAGGCTCAACAAGTTTAAAGTGAAACAGACAGCCCAAATTCTCTCACATTGCAGTTCGGGGGGGATCACCGTTGGGAAACTGCACTCGTCCTGTTCAGAATTCAAATGAATGTCGAAGGGACCCTGTTGTACGAGTGGGGGAAAACAGTGGACCCAGACAGACAGTCAACCCAAGCAAGATACAAATATCACAGTGAAGAGAAGGTGGTTGTAGATTTATACCAGCTTGTTGTTTGACAAAACTGAAAAATGCTACCTGACTATATGGCTATTAAGTATTTTTATGTTATACTGTACATGCTACACAATGTTGTTTTTGTATGGGAAACCAAGTACCTTAAGGTCAAATAGGACATGGATTTAAGCCTAGCAAAACAATGGGCCTGGGTGAAGGCAATGGCCCCTCACTAACCTGCCAGCATTGTATTATAAGCTGTATGAATAAAAGACAACTTACCACTGCTTCATCCTCAGAGAGAACCCGCTCCTCATCATGGACGAGTGAAACTTTAGCCTGGACTTCGTCCACCGTTATACTGTTGTGTAAAAAAAACAAAACATATGAGAGCAGTGTAAGATAGTATTTTGGTAAAATGATTGGTTTGTCAGTTAAAGCCAATTCCTTATAAATAAAGAAATCTCTAGGCTGTTGAGATAAGCTGAATGAAAGTCTTTCTGGTAATTTACGAGATTTATCAACTGTGAAAAGTGAATTAACAAGATGTGGTTAGTATATTAGCATTCCTCACAGTTTAAAGCACATTTTAGAAAAGGCATAAACTTTAATGATATGATGCAAAAAACAACAAAAAAATGGCGAGGCCTTCACCACTGCAACCAACAAGCTGTTCACAAGGTTTGTATTCCAGAGCACCTAGCCAGCAAAACATTTGTACTGTACTTGCTATAAGGGAACTTGAGCTTTACAAGTAAGGAAAACCTTTGAGATAATGAATTAAATATTGTACTTTTGGACCTTTGTGATTTCACAACACATGGATTGTGGTGCACAAGCTGTTTGGAGTTATCAATGAACCAGTCAGTATTTTTGTTTTTTCCTCTGGAGATGACAGGAAAAAAAGCAGCACTAGCTAACTCGCTGTATACAGAACTGCAAACAAACTCTACTGCTGTTTCAATTGATACAAGGGTAAGTTGAACATTTTCACTTTTGGGTAAGCTCGTTCTTTAGGTCAGATCGGGCTTAGTCAACATTGCAGTGACTCAGATTCTCTGTCCTGTTAGTCTATCTCACTCTGAGTGCAACACAGAGCAAAACCAAAATCACACACACCACCTCTTATCCCAGAACACTTAGATCTTCTCTTCAGCCATTCTTTCCTTGCTGGTGTCTTTCTTCCGGAGGCTCCACCTAAACTAACATTACTGAGCTGAGATAATGACTGCATAGCCAGGATCAATCCCGGGAGTCCATCAAAAGCGGAAGAGCAGGCAAACATACAAAGCGAATAGCTTGTTCCACTACAGAGGATCAATGCTCGGGGTAAGTGCTGGAGCAAAACAATGGCTCTCTCCATTGTGAGGCGGCACCAAGGCTGCAGAGCCATGACTCTGAAAACACGTGTGAAGAAAACTGGCTTTGGCCCCAATCACAGAGGGCATCTATACACATATATATAGGACTAGACCATGGCGTCATAAAAGCAGGTGCTTTGCAATGCACACCTACAGTGGGTTTGACAGGAAGAGACAGTAATAAACATTAGGGAACTCGCTCTCAAACACACTTATAATCCTGACAGAGAGGAGGGGATAAAAAGCACAACCTGTTCGTGGGCCTTTGGGAGGCTCCATCATGGTTCATTTCCTGAAGCAGTTGGTAGACTCTATTTATAGGCCAGCATACTGGTACCAGTTAATCCTGCACTGGCGCTGCCAACTGCCTGCCAGCTGGCACAGTGGGTTGCACTTGTGTGTGTGGTGCTTGGGAAGGTTTGGGATGTAATAATGGTGAAGAAGTCCAGAAGCTACCTTAATGACCAATGTATGGGGAAGATTTTTCTTTTCCACATAGTACAAACTGCTAGGAAGAAACTTTCAGACTGAGTCTTTTCTAACTAACTCCATGAACCTGCTAATCCACAAATCACAGTTAATATTTATAATATTTGTTTTAAAATACAATTATGATGATAATCAGCAGCCTGTTAGCTTCTGATATATTCCTTTATGTGTTTCAGAGTGAATTCAAAACTTCATGAAAAAGTGTTGGCATTTTTGTCATGAAGCAATTATTAGTGGCTAAATGGACACAAAAATGAGATTAGTTCACAGTATAAATGAGAGAACAATTATCTGTGAATCTGCATTAAAGATAATTAGCAATTCCAATCGAGTGGATTAAGAACGGGGTAGTGTTTTGCTAAGTGTCATTAGGGACAAAGCCAAGAGCTTTTTTGTACAAGATAAAGAGTCTGCAACATGCATGCTAATCCAGTTCAAAGTCAGCAAACTGCCTGGCAATGTGCAAGCATCAGGTATACCGGTGACTTTGGACTTTGCATTTATCATAACGGCAACTAAATCAAGCTTGACACTTGGGCGTGTGAGCTGCAGAGCTTTTCAAAAAAAAAATGGTGATGTAGCATACATATACAAAACCTCCACCTCCTGCTTTATTCAAATGAGCATCAATACATGTCCTGCCTCAAGATGGCCGGCTCACCAGATCCCATTGACTGACAGACTGAAACAATGGCTGTATAGAAATAAGCGGCACTTGCAGATATTTCAGCTTAGTAATGTGTTTGTTTAAGCGCAGCCCATGGAGAGACACCGCCTGGGATGGAGGGGATAGAGTGGATGGATAGAGGCAGAGCTGGGGAGGGAAGGGGTAGGGGATTGGGGGGGCAGAAGGGCTGAATAATGGTACACATCCAGGCGCAGGAATGCATAAGTGGGCACATAGCGCTCCCTGGAAAATCGCTGCACAAGCACTTCGTCCTCGATGCAGCCATATGTTTTATAGCGCTTTCAGTTTACTATGCCCAGCCCCGCTTCCTTTCCAGGAGAATGTGCCCAGTTAGCTTAAGCAGTATTGATTTTTTTTTTTTTGTCCAGGCGTGGTGTGGGAAGGTGAGGAACGTGAGGGTGGGGATAGCAGGGGAGAAAAAGCATGAAGGGGACCGGCTCATTGGATATCATGCACTCTGTTTTTCTGCAAGCTACCCGCAAATTTAAGAATCTTGCTTGAAAGCAAAATAGATGCCATTCTCTTTAAAGCTGGCAGAGGTTAAACACTGCTCACGACAGCAAGTTAGTCAGCCTGGGTGGCTGAGGGGAAGCTGGCGGATTGGGCAGGGGGGGTGGTGGGCGACAAGTGGGTCTGTTGGGACTGGAAGATTAAACAATGCACATCCGGCAATGAATTCATTTTTAAAGTTTGCTGAAGAACAAATAGGTGTAGGAGTTTCAGGGAATGAGATGTGTGCACTCAACTCAGACTGATGAGACTTTGCTGCATCAGAACTTAAGGTGGAACTAATGAGTCTAGTACATATACATATTGATGTGAATGAGGTCCACAAGAAACACCCATTTATCTTATAGCATGAGGATAAATGATGGAATAAAGGTGAGAGAAATGTCTAAATAGAAAAATATGAGTCATTACTTTAATCCAGTGTTATGGATCTTCTTCATCTTACTCATCTTTAATGTTGTTTGTGTTTCACTGTGCTGTATTAGCAGGGTTTACACTTGAGGACAACAAGAATCACAAGTGAGTGAACATGAGATCTGTGAATCTGACATGGTAATATTTCACACCTTATCCACATTGACAGAAATTAGGGGTTTTATTCTTTACATGAAGCTACCTTTGTTTTCATGCACAGTATTGTCTATAAAACTAAATATGTGCCTGAAAGCAGGGTTGTTTTTCATTTTTTGAGCAATTTAGTGTAATTAGCTGGGGGCTATTAAATTAATTAGCCAAGTTATGCCGTTGAAAAGGCTTCACATCTTTGGTAGCTCTATCTTTTGAGATGTTAACTTGTTTTTTGTAGTGTACTAAAATGACAATGTTAGTCATATTGTCAACATTTGAGCACAAAATGTGCCGCTGCTATATTAATTTCACTAAAATAAACACATTTTGGGATCCAGTGGTTAAATTACGCAATTCAGTGGTAGAAGCACAGTAGGTACACAGTAGGGACAGTAGATCATTTGGTAGGAAAAAGGAAATATAAAGCTAGATTTGAAACCTTCAGCCTTGTTCCTTTTTATTCACAATCACCAGCCTTCATGCCCACTCTGGTACATTTTTAAAACTGCACAGTAGGAGGAGAAAAGCCCAAACTGGGAGCAAATACGCTTTAAGAATTTCTTTAGTATTGGATTTCATAGAAATCTAAATACTGTGACAGAAGCCTTTTCACCCTGGCAAGAGTAAAATCCTAAGGGGAAAACTGTTCAGTATAAAAATATATCAGTGGTGGCCTTGAAAAAAAAGACTAATATCTAAAAACCTTTGCAACATTATTTTAAAACTATTAATACAATAGATTTAATTTTCAGGCTGACACATTAGACGGACTGTCAATAAAGTGGGTACAGCAAGGGCAACGTGAACATGAAAACTGGAGCCACAAGGTTTTCAACCGTCAACAATTAAATAATCAGCATGTTAGTTACCTGCCATCTTTATTGCTGTCCAGTAACTTGAAAATGCTGGTTACTGTGCTGTTCTGACGTCTGACACCTAAGAAGAAAAATAATATGTGGGTTAATGATGGAGGTAATATTATCTTAATCTTTAATCACCAATCACTGCTATGAGCACTAATCCATTTGGATGCAAACTGAGAGGCAGGGATGAAGAAAAGGACAGAGCTGGAGTTGGATTTAAAAACATGGGGACCGGAGAGGGGGTGGGGATGGAGGTTTTTGGGCAATCAGGCAATGAGTCAGTCACGCTGCGCAAGAACATTTGGTTTCCCTGTAGGAAAAAAAAAAGCATGTCAGAGTCCAGAATGCAATCAGGAGGCTTTGTGCTGTAACGGCTGGTATGACAGTGATTTCCCTCTTCTCCATTCATATTCACAGGCAGATAAAAATGAGACGCAAAAACTTCCTCAACCCCCTTTCCAGCGAGCATGTGACCCCAACTGATTCATTTTGTGAATCGCATTCATTGGAGTGGGAGGGAGAGGAAGTTCTCTTATGCTCGGCACTAAGCGTCTCCCAAATCATCAGCTGAACGGAGAATGTAAAGGGGCAAACTGATTGGCCCCTAAGTCTGGGGAAAAGCACTTTACATAATGCTAATTGCGCATCCGCCGCAATTACCTTTCCGTACTAATTACAGAAAAGCTAATTGTGAAATTAGCATTTTTTTTCCCAGTGTACAGTAGAGCGCCTGTGTTAAGCATGTGCTGTACGGGTGCAAAGAACATAAAAAAAACTAAACCCCCAGTTCATAAATGCAGCCTTGCCAAAATGAAGCTTAAATTCACATTTATAAAGCCATGCTGCTTTTTGGATTTAAGTTTAAAAAGATTCAAGATTGTACTTGTCACCCACGACATGAGTGGAAGCAGCACACGTCTACGGAGAAGCCAGATTCCTCACCCCCGTTGCTGCCTCAAGATTTGCTAATATTCCTCTGCACTACACACAGCATCTGTCATATTAGTGGCCTATTCTTTTGTTTGAACGGCGCTCTATTCCCAACCTAATGCTTGACATTCTCAACCCATCCTCTAGTCGCTCTGTCTCGCAAAAATGAGTGCACAAAGGAGGAAGAGAAATGGTCTCATCCCTCCCTCTACTGCAGAGCTGTAGCTATGAAAAACAACCATAAGGAGGATAGATGGAGAAGGGAGGAGAGGAAGGCAGAGAAAGAAATAGACGGGGTGGGGGCACGGGGCGTTGTGGTGAAAAGGTAAGAGGAAGAGTGGGGAAGAATGTGGAAAATAAGTGAGGAGAGAGTAGGAGGGCGAAAAAAAATAGAGAGAAAGGAGGTTCAAGACATTGGCTCTTTAGGCCGATGGCACATATAGGGGGCTATGTTTACTAATGGACACCATCACTCATCCACCCATGTTGCCCTGGCGATAGCGCAGCACACTCGTAAAATAAGAGAGGCACAAAGAGAACAGAGAAAATGGAACATATCAGCAGGAGACTGCAGATCTATGCCTCGGCTACAGACAACGTTATCCGCACAGAGCTTTCTTTGTTACTGTATGCTCTGCACTCCAAGGCTAACAAAAAACACATTTTGCTTTCTCTTATACACTATTAAGCAATATTTCCAGGTAGGATATTATCACTTTCTCAGGGAAATGTTTTGAGATGTAAAGGGATCAAAAGGCTGCAGGTGTTGCACTGAACTTTTACTTTTAGAGAGAAGAGGAGATACTGTAAATATAGAGATAGAATCTGCAAATAAGTGTTTTAACCTCAGATGGTGCCGGTTTACAGCATCACTGATTCAGAAAAGATTGCAGCACAATAAGAACATTGCAGTGTACCAGATCAATGGCTTACTGATTTCAATTTATTCACAAATTAATCAGGGCTGTGATTACAGTTGCTGAACCAATTGCCTCATTTTCAGCTCTCTTCTAAAGATTACCACGTTAGTATTGTAAGTGATTTTCCAGGACATTAGTAACAACCTAGAGCTGATGAGACAGACAGGTATCACAAATTAGACAAATGAATGTGTAGAATTCAACTATTAAACTATTATTTTCACAATGCTTGTCTTTGTCTACTTTATCTTTACATTTAGCTTGTTTTCTGGATACATATATAAAGCACAGATCATGAACTCAATTATGTTTGGCAGCTGACTTAAACATCTTAGATGCTGGGAATAGGAGTGTATGAAATGTTTGGAACTGGATCTGTTGTATCTAAGGTACCTCAGGGGAATTTCTACTGACATCCTCAGAGACAATCTGGAAGACAAATATCTTTCCCCGTATGTTATATGTTTCTTAATACTGCCCCATGCAAAATAGAGGGCTACACGCACATATACAAAAGTTTCAGTTTTACCACATTTACTGTAACTGCCCTGATCCCTGTATATCATGAATGGGACTGTTTGAACACTTTGTGTTATTAAGGCAAGATTCAACTTTCAAATATATTTTTGACAATTTCTCTAAAATCAAACACAGATATCTTGTTTAATGAACCGATGAACTGAATTTAACAGTAACTTTAAATAACTAGACAGGAGCTTTTTATGAAGACATATTAGTGAAAGTCTGACACTAAAGGCTTGAATATACTTTAATCTAAATGTGTCAGAACAGCAGAGAAAGCCAAAAGTAAAAACTGCAAAGGTCTGTATTGTAAGAGGAGAGGTAGGTATACTGCAAACCTATCTGACAAAAGTATGCGTGACTTATTAAACTCACTAGCAGGGTTAGCATGACCTGATGGGCTGAGGAAAGGTTGTCAGGTTCAGATTAAACCAGTGATTCTGAAACTGGGGTCAAAGGATCATTTGATCATTAGAGTATAAACCTATAACACCTACTGTTAACATGTGATGTGTATGTGGAGAGATATTATCTGGATAAGTAAACATGCATTGCAATAAGGAATCCAAATGCGATGAAAGAATGCTTTTAACAGCAGGTGTAAATCCAAAGGCCTGTGATCAGATTCATTACCAAGATAACGTATTCAGATCGAGATTGCATGTTTCTACCAGGTGTAAATGGGGGGAACTGGGAACTGGCACATTCGTATGAAATACCCAATACTTATATGGCTCTACACCATATCTGATAAATAGTCAAATAATTGTATTAATGTGGTAAAAACAATAATCATCGTACTTTAAAAACAATAAATCTCCCTTAGGATATGGTACGGCAGGGGGACAGATAGGCGTTTGTTATTCTGTGAGGATTTGTTATAGGTGGCATACATTCTTTTACCAAATTCTAATACATTTTTGACAATCTCTCTAAACTTTAACACAGATACAGTATCTCATTAAGTGAACTGATTATGTTTCATTCAACAAATTTAACAGTAACTTTAGATAACTAGACAGGAGCTTTTTATTAAGAGATATTACTGAAAGTCCGACACTAGAGGCTTGAATGTACTTTAATCTAACTGTGTCAGAACAGCAGAGGAAGCCAAAAGTAAAAACTGCAAATTACTGTCCATGTGGTTTCCTCAATATGCAACAAAATTGTACAGTCAGTCTAAGACCTGACTAGAGCAAGTTGCTATTTGTTGCGCTACTGTATGGTTTTATGAATTGCTAATGAGGCAAATGATTCAAAAGGGGATGGAGAGCCTACATAAATAATTACATATCTGACTATGTAATAATAAATGTTTAAACTACGCTATGGGTCAACCATTGCTGGGGAAATGTATGAATGAATATGACTGTTTAATTATTCTGCATGACTGTATCATTGGAAAAAAACCTACCAATCAGAAACTTTAAGGGTAATTAACATTTAAATGTGAACAAGAAGCAATATCATGAAATGATATCAAATATGGATGTACCGGTAATTTTGACGTGGAATTGCATGATTCTCTGATGGACAGAGCATAAATGATGTCCATTATTTGACATAACTGTGAAATAATTGATTTGATATTGCTCATATTCCCTTTCTGCATAATGGTTACTACATACAGCATATTTAAGAAAGCTAAGAAATTGAAAATGTCCTCAGTGATAAAGTTGTTTAGTTGGTTTGAATGCCATCTCAGTACACTTTTTTTTCTACATGGTGTCTAACTGCGCTCATGTACCTTTGGAAAACATAAGTGGTAGGGAGGTGGTTTGCAAGACAGTCCGCGAGAGAAATCAGGTCAACCACTGGATTAACAATGAACTTGAGGAAACCCCCTCAAACTGTGGGTGAACTCAGAGACAGTGTAGCTTTGCATATCGGGGCGTACCAATAAAGACAGTAACAGACATTAAATACACGACGAATATGAGTGGATCTTATCAAATAAACATCATCAGACAAATAAGAGACCTCCATGTGAACCCAAAGCTTATTGAGATTGGTAATAAAAAGGATTTTTTTTTTTTTTTCAATGACAAGCACACGTGATCAGTGTCCTTTCTGAAGAGCTGGGAACAGCAAAGTCTTAGTTATTCAATGGGGATTTAACCAGATTCCTAAGCATGCTTTGCAGAATGTGACAGCATCATAAATACTGAGGCTAGCTAATGAAATGACAGGATACAGCTCCATTATGTGGTCCTATCAATCTGTGAAATTATTTCTTGGACATGTTTGGTGTACAACCCCAAAAAATTCACATCATCATAATTTTAGTAGTTTTTTCAGTAAAAAACAAATTTGTGATGTAAAAATTATCATTCCCACACTATGAATCATGCTGCAATCAAAATAGCTGTCAAAATAATCACAATATGTTTTTACCATATCATGCAGGCCTAAATTATATTTACTGTTTGTCAACCGTATGCTGTATTATTATTGAATATTGCTAGCATAATGTTGGCTTTCTGGCTAAGGGCCAAAGGGCTCTATGAGCGGAGGGAACTAGAAATAGCTCAAGTTGCCTTGGACTATCGTTTTCACATGCTAAATAAAATGGTGACACACAATATAACAATCTCAGTCCTCAGTCCTGCAAATATTGTTTCAACGTACCAAAAGCATTGCACCTTGAGAAACAGCAATTTTCTTTGAGGGTTCAAATAACCTGGCCCTTTAAAACTTCTCAATAACTGTGCAAGAAGCCCTGGAGACACGTTTGAGCGACAGCAGCAGTAAAGGGAAAGACTGTTAAGTTCTACTTTGCAGGCTCAGATGCTTGTTCTTCTGGCTTTTCATTCCTATTTTGAGAGAAGCCATTGACAAGTCATAAAGGGAAAGACAAGATGTTGATGGAAAAACAAAATTTCTTTGTTGTGATGTTCCTATATTTAATTGAGGAAACTCAATGTTCGTCCTCATGGGTCCTCAGTTGCGAAAGGATCTTTTTGTTAAACCTGTTGAAGGTTTAACAAATAAAGTGGAAGCACATAGAATGTACAGGTTAGGAGATATGTTTAATACAATATGTATGTGTATTAGTCAGTGCATAAGGGGTGAAAAGAGCTCTAAAGCAAGTTAAAGACTCCTTATTGTTGCTCCTTAAGCCTGAAATTTACTTGACAAGTCATGACGGCAAAATTACATGATGTTAAAGAGTTATAATAACATGGAGAAAACTCTGGCCATTTACTTCATGATATTTTGTGAGTTTCGAGGAGCTGTGTAATCCAAGAAACTTTCGAGTGAGGAAACTAAACCCAATTGAAGTCATTTGAAGTAAGTTGATCTGAATATGGGTGTGATCTTACGGCATAGAATGTAAATGTAAAATGTAATGTCAGCAAATTATGAAATTACTGGGAAGAAAATAAATTTAAAACTGTGGTGTGAGTGAGCTCTATCTGTTGCCTGGCACATTCTCTTGAAAACAAGCCATGCAATAGCCGGATCACATTTAAAATTCTATCAAATATAATAGTTACACCTTGGGAAAATATATCTTCATGATTACTTCACTTGTACAATCTCTGCTTTACTGTGTCTGCCTTTTAACTCCAGTAATAAAATCAAAATGTGCTAGAAAGATGTAACAACTTGCCACCCCAAATAATAACAGCGAGGTCCATGAGGGAGCCACAGAGTGTTATACACTTAAATATGTAACATTATAAGTTGCAAGCAGGAAAAAGGATAGACAAGTAACCTTTAAGTCACTGAAATGTCCCTTTGACACACACACAAACGGTCATTAGAACTCCACAATGAAAGCCTAGATGGATAGCCAACATAGACAAGACATGCCAACGCGACCGCGAAAATGAAAACTGATGGTTGTTACGCCCTGAAGATGAGCAGTAATGGAAGTAAAGGATGCGCAAGAACACGGGGGACCTGTCACGTCTAAGGTCAGCTCGCGCAGTGGGATGCATGATGGAAGCATGCTCACAGGAACCAGCAAAGTCAAATGACCTTTATTGCTAAAACTTTTATTTTTGGCACTAGGCAGACAATTAATTACAAGTAGTCCATGGCATCAAGGAAGGATGACAGCAAACCGTTGAAAAGTAGACAAATGGCATTATTAGGAATACAGTTTTTGCTTAATTTGATGCATTTCGCTTGGTATATTGACACAAACTTAAAGTTATGTAATGTAAAAATGTAAAAAATGTAAAGTTTGCTCCCCCCCCCCACACACACACACACACACACACACACACACACACACACACACACACACACACACACACACACACACACACACACACACACACACACACACACACACACACACACACACACACACACACACACACACAGATTCTAAATCCTTATGGACTTCAGTGCACAAATGATTGAGCCCATTTTCGTCTCCAGCCCCACAACTTTCTGTACATTCACATACGCAAGTCTGAGCGTCACTTAAATGCCGAGCCAGCTAGTGCTTAGAACGATAAGGGAACTTTCCTGTGAGTCATGAGTAACTTCTCTCTGAAGGTCTGAGGAACGTAAAAGGAAAAACGAGGGGCTGCAATCTGCTGTTGCTCAGCACTCCTCTCCTAGTCCATTTATTTCAATGGCACAGGCATCTGTATTTAACCCTTCCAGGTGTTTCTGAAGTTCTACCATTTGTCATCCTGACCATCTAGCCTGAAGCGCTAAGGTCAATTTGCTTTTGTTCAATAAAATGGAAGCTGCCCTGCGGTCGCTATAACAATGGCCTAACTACATCGACAAAGTCGAGCAATTCTGTGAATTCAATTGCTTTGAATGGAGTCAAACCAAATTACGGAAGGTCAAAGGTGGCAGGACACTTACCGCTGTCCCCGGCTTGCAGCGCCTTAAGTGTTTGCTCTTTGAGTCGGTCAGCCTCGTGTTTCTTCCTTCTGTGATCCTCTAATTTGATCTGTAGGTCCTCAGCTACCTGCTGAAGCTCTCTGAGCTGGGCCTGAAGAGAGACGATACAGAAGACAAACAAAAAGTCTAAGATTAGCATAACGTGGTAATACTTTCATACAACATACAGTTTGTCAACCAGTCTGCAAATAAGTGGCACAATAAAACTACTTTTCTGATATTATCCCTCATATCTAAACAAACAAAAGTTTAAATTCTGATTTGGGCCATTTTAAGATATGAATCTAAATCTGAAACATATCCAAAAGCCAAAAATGAAAAAAGAAGTAAGTAAGAAGTAAGATGTTAGCATGCTTATGTTAGCAAACAGTTCAAAGGACTGTGAGGAACATAACATTAACAGTTACAGTTAAACAATGCAACTGTTTACAAGAGGATAATTGACTTGCAACCTAAAAAGCATTTATAGAAAGTAGCACCTGCGCTGACATGAATAGATTATTATTTCTCTCTGTTCTCATTTCCATCTACCTTCTCTTTCGTTACGCATCAATATACAGTATAAACCCACAAACTACAACTAGTCCATGTATTTACAAAAACTTGTCCGACAGCAGTCTGGTCTGCACAATGGACTACTTAAATCACTTGCGTCAGAAGGTGTTGTCGTCACACCAAAAATGACAGCTTATGACAACCGATCATCACTCTCTGTAATGGACCAATTAATATGAAAGAGCAGAAGACCCTTGTTTGTGTGTATGTATGTATGTATGTAGGTGTGTGTGTGTGTGTGTGTGTGTGTGTGTCAATACTGCCTCCCAATCTCTCCTCGGAGACTCTCATAATGCAGTGATGGATTCTGCTTGGTTCGGACAGGGATGACTACCTTTCTAGGCCACGCTGCTTGCTTAGACTCCTTCGGTTTGCTGCAGTGATTTATGGGCTTCATTTTGAGTGTACAAGACCATATTTACTTGTGAATAACACCCATGTAAAAATTGTTCCTCCACAGTGTTAAAAGACTGTGTAAAACTAGAAACTAATGCGCATAGCATGTGTGTTAAGATAAGGTTTTTCAATGAACTGCACTAAAAAATATGAAACAAATATCTGTTTAGTCACATTTTAGTCACATATTAATATGAAAGAATAAGCAATAATCAAACTGGGGTGAGTGAGAATTATACTATTTTTTGTTTTAAAGGATCAAGGAGTGCTGATTCAGTACACACTGTCTGAGTTAAGTCTTGGAAAGCTGTACAGAAAAGTCACCTTAGGTTCCTCCGAAATCCTGACAGAATTCAGACAAATATATGCTAGGAGGATTAAAAAATATTTTTAGGACTAACTAAATGTTCCCTGCTGTAAAACATACACTTGCGGTGGGCCAATCAACAGACAGATAATCACAAACCTCTTGAAAGAGGATTTTATTGAATACCAATTTATATTCAATTAACAGCAGCATTCCCATTTCTGCACAGTGCTGTCATGCTACACTTAGCTTTCATTGTGTAAAGGCTTCTAATTTGATTTAAAAGTTTTGTTCCAGAATCTTTTTTAACCCTAGAACCGCAGGAGGAGTTCACTTTTCAGTCATTGTATAAGGTTTCCGAGACTGAGGCCCCCTGAGGTAACCCTGCCATATCAACAGAGACACACGGAGAGGAAGAGGATCACAATGTGCGGCTGGGCTAGGAGAGCTGGGTGACACTTCAGCCTCGATCTGCCAATCAGCCGACACAGAAAAGAACATGGAGAAAAAAAGAGAACAGAACAGAAAAGAAGAGTGCAGGGTACACACTCAGAGAGCATCGGCTGGCAAATGTGACAAAGAGTGGCCTTCAGTTAAAATCTCTGTTGTCAAATAAGTGGTATCTTTTTAACTGTATCTTCCATTACAAGCAATACATATGTTAAACAAGACTGACATTCCTGAAATGGATTTTTTTTTAAACAAACAGGTGCTGCAAAGTGCTTCGAAATACCTTGAAATAAAGTAATTTGGCACATAATCAACGCACAAAATAACAAGGATTGTGGGCAGCCCTGAGGAAGTTATCAGAATTGTGAAATGTGCTGCAACATTTTACAGCTGCCAATGAGTCCTTTGGAATCCCAAATACATATTTCATACTGACCATAACTACATGCTGAACATTGCTCTGGTCTTACAATTTTTAATTTCCTATTACTAATGCACAAAAAAAAAAGAAAATGATCTTTATATGTGGAACATGCAGTAAGTGAGCTTGACTTGACCATCAAACAGTGTTGAGAGGGTAACTTGAAGTACCTAAATTAAGATAATGCATTAAGTAATGAGACCAGCGTACCAGTGAATAAAACTCAAAAACATCTAAAGAGATACTCAGCTGCCAAATTCACCAATTTAATTTGCACCAAACTCCAGGGCTCCAGTTTTTAATTTGGCCTAGTGCTTGTTGAACTAAATGTGCAAATGGAGAGCAGAGGGAAAACGGTGTATTTTCTTCTTATCTTGAAGTTCTGTAAAGGAGCATGTTGATCCAAAATGGGCTTGATCACTCTGGTACTTGTTTACTTGTGCCGACTTACCCCTAACCATTTACTCCTTACTGCTTTAGAGGGATTACAAATGAAGCACAGTTACAGCTGAAATCCTTAAGAGATAAAGTGCTGAGTGTACAGCAGAAGAAGAACAGAACGATGTTTATGAGTTAAAGATCAGAAATTAGGAGACATGATAAATGTTCTATATAATCATAATATACAGGTATGTTTGTTATGCTAAAATAATCAACTAACAACATGCAAGTGAGTTAGTTGCTGGAAAATGCTTTTTGATAGTTCTGAGAGCTAGAAAGCAGTGAATAACTCAGTTTGACATTGCAAAAAACTAAGCGCACAGCAGGCTAAGGTTGGTGTTAGAAACTTCACAGCAGACGCCTGTAGCAACAGATGCCATGAACATGTATGGTCAAAACAATATCACAAAGCACAGGCTGCTCATTTAGAGCAGGAATTCTCAGGGCGCAACACATATAAAAGCAAATTAACCTCAACGTCCCTATTAATCAAGTGTGTTAGCTTGTGAGCCAGGTAATAACACTACAGTTACTGGGTGGCAGCACAAGTAGCCAAGGTGAAAAGTTAATTAAATCTATTGAGAATAACAGAAAACATATAACTATATACAGAAGCTACAACATGGGTAGAAGCACACTGTTACATTTGTATGATACTTAAGAGGCAAACTGCCATAATTTGACAATAACAAAAATACAAAGAGAGGAAGAAAAGCCATATGCAATACAATCCACTGGCTAGAATCAAACCCAGGATATTGTAAACAAATGTTGTATAATAGAATGATTGCATGTAAGGGAAAAATGTATCCACTGAACGCAGTGCAGCTCACAACATCCAGGAATCTGTATCGCAGTTCAGAAGACATCCATGGGTTCATCATGTTGACTGCAACAGGCTCTACAGGCTACAGGAATAGACTTCTTGTACTATAAACATACTCCACTGTACAATGGGCCAAACTGCCGTACAAATATGATTTATTATCGTACACCTGGAATTACAAGGAACATACCTTGAGTAACACTGCAAAGGTTTGTTCTGTCATGCAGAAACCCACTCAAATTATTTTACAGTAACCATCTCTGTGATATTTATCCAACCATTTACTTCATGTAAAGTCAATTATGAATTTTTGCTGTAGTGCTTTTGGTACTTCATGTATTAAAGTAACATTATGTAACTTTTTCTGCCTTAGAATAACAGCTTCAAAGTAATTTTGCTACACTGAGTTGTAATAGGGTAAATGGTACCTCTGCCATCCCCACGCTGCATCCCGTAGTCCCGTTTTTGTATGTAATTTCTGAAACGCTTTACAGCTGTAGTCACACGGTACCAACTATGTCACAGATTTTTGTTAAAATGTATAATTTCTTAAATGATGAAAATGATTCCTAGGTTGCCCTCTGATGTCCTCCACTTCAAATCTCTGCAATAGTTTCCTGATGGAGAACAAAATAACTTCTGTGAAATGTAGCTGCTGTTAGCTAGTTAGCTTAGCCATACACACTGGGGGACTGTTGGTGTTTACAGTGCTAGCATGATCCAAAGTACTTTGGACTGCCAGGGAGACGAACTTTTGCTCATAAGTAATGTAATCATAACAAAGGCAGGTGTACAGCTGTCCATATTTACGGCAGTAGTATTGTAACTTAGTTTATATTACAAATCTACATTTAAGGTTCTTCCACTTCCCAATAATATAAGGTCACCTGCTTTCTACTGTAAGTAAAAATATATAGCCTGCCAAAGACATATATATACATATACATATATATATATACATATATATACACATATACATATACATATATATATATGACTACTTAATGAACCTAGGGTATATTTTGTGCAGCTGAAGTTCTAAAAGCAGTGAAAACCACACAATTAAAAGGTACACTGGGTTTTTTCACAACAGAACAGGATAAAGCTTTTGAGGGAAAACCCTGATGACTATCTTCTGTTGCTACTACGTGCCCATAAGGTAGTAGTTACTTCAGCAGAATATAGTGTACCTGTTTCTCCCTCCAGAGGAGCACTCCCTCCTCAATCAGTTGCTGCTTGAGTTGCAAACCCTCATCCAAGGTCCTCATCTGGCCCTCCACGTATGCTCTCTCTCTCTGTCCCAGATTCCTGGAGGAGGAGAGCGAGACAGAGGATGCACAGTCCCATCATTACCGAGAAAATGTTGGCCACCCCTGCCATGGTCACTGAGATGGTGCAATCCAATTTTTAAGGGCCAACAATGCAGCCCGGAATCCAAATGGGAAAATAGAAGAGTAAATAAGATGGGGGCTGATGCTCTGTGGCTGAACTAAATTGTTTTTGAAGTCTGGCAAACACAATATGAGTGTGGACCTTGTGAAAACATAATGAGATATACTCTGCTCGTATGTGGTTTTGGGGCGCATAGCAGTGAATGAAATAACAGAGGGCTGTCAACAAAAGAAGTGGGTTACTGTATTCGAAGTTACATTTACAAGGGGAGCTACATTTCAGCATCTCAGTGTGGTCAATCTTTGCAGTGCAGCTCAGAGACGATGATAAATATGACCTGGCAGGAGTCTGCGTCCTTATAAATATTTGTATTTATTTATACCATGTATGCAGTATGTAATTTGTATCCTGCAGAAACTAAATTATCTGCATCAAACACGTACACTGGAAGAGTTTACTGAGGGTACGATTTACAGTGCGAATAGGAAAGTATGATGAGGTGGTGGGTCAGATGGGTCTTAATCATGAATGAGCTCTCAAAAACAATATTGTGATGCATATACATTATATTACAGGAGAAGATCTGAACTAGATCAAGTATTTAATCATAGTGACACCATGCCCCCTGGTGGCACAGTGAATGAGTCACTATCACATGAGTGCAGCAAGTGAACAGTCTATCACACTGAAGCCATGATAAATACCTTTATGTTACTTTGATTTGGTTAAGATCTGCATTTTTATCAAATCGCCCCAAAAACAGTGTTTGAGAAATTTCCCCAATACAATGGACAGGCTGGATATTTATTTCTTTAGCTGTGCGTGGGCCTCCATTGCCATATTTTGACTCAAAATCTGCATGTGTTATTTTATAAATATTGAATCTCAGTTTTGATTCAACTGACCAGCAAGTGTTCTGGCAGTGAGCGTGGCTGTTGTATTCATCTGAAGCATCGCAGCAATCTGGCACGAGACACAGGAGAAACCAATCCAACGCACATACAAGAGAACAGAAGAGCATTCAACGTTATCAGCAAGGAGAGGTGCGCAGTCTGTGTTTCTCATTACAAATGTGATCAATACATGATTTGGCAACAGCAATGAACACAGACTGAAGTTAGAAACAATACTCAACATTAACATAGCAACTATGAATCATTGACTTTCAGGTACTTTTGGAGGAAGGTATGACTCAACCACTGTACTCTTTCAGTTTCAGATTAAATCATCAACATTTTGGGACAGACACGTGTTCAAAGCGATAGATGAGAAGATTACCATTCTCATGTCTGTATGCTAAATATGAAGCTACCACCAACTGCTGCTTATCTTAGCTTAGCATAAAGATTGGAAACAGGGGAAAGCTGCTAGCTTGGCTCTGTCTAATGGTAACAAAATCTGCCTACCAGCACATTTAAAGCGCACTAATTCACACGTTAAATGTTGTTTGTTCACTGCACACGAATACTGAAGAGTAAAAGACAGAGCCAGGCTAGCTGTTTCCCCCTGTTTCCAGCATTTGTGCTAAGCTAAGCTAACCGGCTGCTTGTTTCAGCCTTGTATTTAACGGATATGAAAATTGATAATTATTAGTGGCAGCCCTAAATGAGAGTATACTTAAAATTATCACATGATGACACAAAACAACATTGTGCTCACTTTTAGTGTAATTCTGGTATTAGCTCCAATGACCAATATTGACCAATACTACCCATTAAATGGCGAATCTACCTGGCTTACACCAATTGTCTTCCACTGATAAAACTAACAAATGTCTCTTAGGTGAAATTGTTGATCTAGCCTGACACATTTCATCCTCAATGAAGATCAGATCTTTGTGTCGGCGTGATATCTCTCTCTCTCTCTGCTTCACAGAGGGTCTCTTGAGATCAACCACTTATAAGATCAGCTGCATGGTGTTTTGTAAGTGCTCAGATCTGGCTTTTGCTCAGATGTTTCACTCTAGAGAGCGGGCACAGTGTGATATTTCTCAATTATCCAGAAACCCATTGGTGACCGGTGGAACAAGAGCTTTAGAACCCAGAAAGGGATGCCAATGAAAATCTCTCAACAACCAGCTGAGGAGGAAAAGCGACAATGTGTTAGCTTCTAAGGGGCTCCATTCAAGGCAGGGAAGGTATGAGAAGACAAGTGGGAGTAGAAAAAAAGGAGGGAGGAAAGGGAAAAGGAAGCTTTGAGAAATTTTCCACTACTGCTCTTTTATTCTTTATTCCCTCAGTTTTTTTTTTTTAACCAGAGGAGGTTGCATGCCGTCTAATGCTGCTGAAAGCGCCGGTGACAGAGAGGAAATGTCGACAACGGAATGTATTGATTTTATCCAAAGTGGAGAGCTACAGGAGAACAAAAGTGGAGTGTGGCAGATTTTACAAGAAAGAGTGGAGAAAGGCCTTGAGCAAAGGGATGTTTTTCGAGGAAAACTGTGTGAGGAGAGTGAGTGTGTGCATGTTGGATATGTGTGCATAAGAAAGCCAGGTTTTGTTTGCTGTTTCTACTTCATCTGTTTGTTTGTACTACAAAAGCAGTGACAGTTTGTACACCAACATGTCAGCTTCTTGACATCATGTAAAATATGAATTCCTGTCCATGTTTGCAAAACACTCAAGAGGGGAAAAAGCAAACAGCGTCTTACTTGTTTAAAATAATGGACGGAAACTATTTTGATTAAAACCTCACAACTACCAATGAATTAGGTTGCAAGATATTAGAGCACATTCTGCCTCAAACCATCCCACCAGTTATTTTGAACAAATAAGACAGGGATTCATTTCGTGTGAGAATAAATCTGTTCACTGGAGCACTCGCAGAGCTGCACTTGTTGTCCTTGAAAAAACGCTGGAGCAGAAAACATTGTTGATCCGTCACCTCACCTCAAAAGATTCTGTAAAGTTTATTAAAGTCACCTCTCAAGAGAGTATTATTTCATCACGTATACTGCAATATAAAAAGCCTTACCACAGATGCCGTCATTGACTCGTGATGATGGGATGTAGTGTGGGCGGAAACCCAGATTGGTGCAGTAGAATCGGCCACGAGGACAGGCTGAGGTGCCTACATGAAGGCAGGAGCAGAGGTCAGCGCTACGTAATAAACTAACTTCCAGAAACAAATAAATTGAATCAAAACTACTTATAACACACGCACAGGGGCTGATGCCGGAATCCCTTTTTAACCCAAAAATGAGCGTGTCTCAAACCCTTGCTGAGTAGTGGCAGCAGTGTAAGGCCGTTTACACTAACCCTTAGAGGACGAAAAGTGGCTTGTTTTTGAAGTGAGCTTCCTTTGCCTAAACGTAAAAACTATGAACAAATTTCATCCTTGTTTTGATAATGGATACTTAAAAAATGCCACCGTTTTGCAGCTTTTGGGTGTGTTATACTGAATTTAGTAGTGTTTTTAAGTGTCACTGCATTTCATACGCGATTATTTTCATTATACTTTAATCCATCAGTTATTTTCTTAATTCATTGATTAATTAAGTATTAACATGAGGTCTGGGAAGTTTTATAACTATATTTTCCTGTTTCCACTGCACTGGACTGACTGTATCAGTTGCCATTATGCGGAGTCAATCACTCCCAAATCTTGGTGTGGGCAGAGAATATTAACAACATGCTTAATTCTGATTCATTCACCTCTTCATTTTTCTGTCCCCTTTTGTCTGTAATGAGTAGAGAAGTTTATTAGGGTGCCTATAGTTAAGCTGCAGACAGTAGTAGGGGTTGGACTGACAGCAGCAGTATAGGTATAACAGCAGAAAAGGCAGATTATCCTCCATCTGATCAATTCTATCTATCACAGTAATCTTGGATAAACACTGGACATGCACAACTGTACACTGCAGTTAATGGCCTTGCTCCATTAAAGCACAAATTATGAGTGAGTTCAGTAATTTAATGAGCTCTTCAGAAGACCACTTCATGTTTTGTTTTTGTTTTTTGTTTTTTTTTTTTGGGGGGGGGTCTGATATTCTTTGACAGCAGCAATTAATCTGCAATGTTCAATCTCAGCGGTTTAGAAGGCTTCTAATTACCCAAGGAACAACGGATTTACATGGCGATGTGCAGAAGGAGAACTTTGAATCCCTGATGAGTTAATGATGATTACGATGACGATGATTATGTTTTGCAAAGGCATTATGTTTTACACTCCCATGAGGGAGGGGCCAGGGGATGCCATGTTACCTAAATAATATATATATATATATATATATATATATATATATATATATATATATATATAAATATATATGTTTGAGTTTATTTAATAGATATTATCCAAGCCAGGGCATTATTTATACCAGATAAGAAAGGAATAAATGAAACACTACATTACACTACACTACACACTACACTGTCTACTGTGATGTCCTTTGAAGTGTTCACATGCTTATTCACATATTTAATTACATAAAATAAACACAAATAAAAACAAACAGCAGTACAATGTTACGTCAAGTCAAATATTATTTTCAGTGTGCACAGGTCACAGTTTGCGAACATTGGTAAACAGACAACCACTTGCACATCGGTTAATCTTTTACCTGGTTCATCAGAGCCATCTTCACAGTCGCAGTAGTCATCGTTCACCTGCTCAAAGGGGATGATTTTCGACCCATCAATGCACATAAAGGACTTCCTCTCCCTGTAGAACCGCTTGTCTGTTACAGAATAAAAACATTACAGACTGATGACCTTGGACTGGAGTTAGAAATGTAACCAAACAAAAGAGAAAGCTTAGGACCACATTTCATATCTGTAACATTGATTTCAGAATAAAAGCTCGGTGCTTGGGTCCAGAGACTGTAAACAAATGCTAACTGCTGTAACTTAAAATAACTATAGGTCTGGTATTATTGCTACTACCCTTTACAAACTTTAAATGCTGTGTACATGTCTTACAAACTATCTACAGCAATGACAACTTGACAAGAATTTGCAACACGCTGTCTGTGTTGAAGCCAAGGAGCTGTTAAAGTCACTGCACGTCACACCATGCAGTGTTGTTATTTACAAATATGTTGATAGCTACCTAGCCTGGAGCTAGCTGGAAGGGGACTGTGAACTTACAGGACGAAGATATTCCTCTTATTTTACGCGAGTCTACGAAGCCACACCAAAAGTAAGCGGCGATAATAATGTGGAAACGCATGTCAGATAGCAGAATTGTAAAACGCTCTGTCCTGCCTGACAAAAAAACCCGCTCAAACCTGTTTCAAACCCATGATATACATCCAGCATTTAAACTGGACATGTCCTGACTTCCTGAAACATGCGGTCTCGTGACGCCTCTGAGGTTTCCTATTGGTTTTCAGCCGAGCCGCACGTGGTTCGTTTGACCAATCACGAGTGAGAGTGGCTTTCGGAGGAGGAGAAACTGAACATGTCAATACTAGGATGTTCCAACGTGTTATTCTCATTTATAATTCACATAATGGAAATCTGAAGATGGGTAATGGAAAATCTATAGAGGCTTTTTAATTTTATCTTACTGTAAATAGTGGGCTCTATAGGCATTAGCTAAAAACAGAAGTCGGAATACATGTCAGGGGATAAATGATCTGTGTTTTTAGAAAGACTACAAACAGCTGTATGACATTGTGCTCACTGAATGTGTGTTTGAAGAGGAAAAAGTTATTTCTGTGTTAGACTACATTTAGATAGATAGATAGATAGATAGATAGATAGATAGATAGATAGATAGATAGATAGATAGATAGATAGATAGATTGATTGATTGATTGATTGATTGATTGATAGATAGATAGATTATTAGATAGATAGATAGATAGATAGATAGATAGATAGATAGATAGATAGATAGATAGATAGATAGATAGATAGATTGATAGATAGACGGGTTGTTTGCTTGGTTGATGTTATGGTGTTGGCACAAAATCATGAACACAAGATAAACAAGAGTACAATTTGATGTCTTTATTAATAATAAACAATCTTTACAACATGTACATTATAAAAAATACAAAGTTAAAGGGAACTGTCAGAATGCATTGATATCAACCAGCACTTTAGCTGGGTTTGAGGCACTTGAAAGGAGATTTAAAGGCAAATCTGAAAGCCATATTACAATAACTTTAACAAAATAATAACATTTTGCATGTGTCTTTTTTTTTTTTCTTTTTTTTTGGAGTGTCATTTTTCACTGTTGAGTCGTGCATAGAGACCTGTGCTGCATAGTGAGTCCTTGCTCTGAAGGTATGACAGGTCTCTGATCATGCCCGGGAAGGAATATGAGTCCAAAGGTGGACGCAGTGGAAACACTGGCATCAGTCCGGATGTCATGTATGGAGACATAAAACCTGCCATGCCGCCGTTTGCGGAGGAATAGGCCAGCCGCAGGGGGGTGACACCGAGGCGAGGGTTGAGCCCGTACAGACTGTCTCCCCCGGCTGCCGTCGGTGGCATGTGAAGCGGGGAGAAAGCAGACTTGTTCCCCAGAGCACCGAACGCTGCAGGCAACCCAGCAGAAGGCCTGGGTGCGTGTGGGTGATTAGACAGAGAGTCAGAATCAATTTTGTTCTCTTTGGAGCTCAGCGCCAGCTCAATGGATCTGACAATGTCGCCTTTGCACGTTCTCACCATAGACTCCAGGGTGTCCCGTTTCTGATGGGGGAAGATCTTGGCCATGATATCGGTGGGGTCCCGGTCCAGGCTCGGGAAGTCCTTGGGTTTCTCTGACTCGCTGCCTGACTCCGGATCCGAGGAGGAAAGCGACCTCGGTGGACTCTCAGTGTGATCGAACACCGGGGATGGACTTGCGCTGTCATCAGTGGATGAAGCGGTGTTGTCCTTGTTTGTAGACAGATCCTTCTTGTCATTTGGAGAGGGCAGCCGTACGGTGTGGGGTGCAAACAGGGGTCGACCCATGAATCCGTTATAGAAGTTGTACTTGCTCAATTTGTCATCTGAAATGTGGACAGAAGAAAAACAGGTGGTTTAAAATCAACAGGTTCTGTGCGTAAAATGCTTGAAACATAAATACATGTTTATATCATATATCATATCATATATATATCATTTATTATATGTTGCGGTAACTTGAATGAAGCCTAACTCAAAGAACATTTAACATATAATTATGAATTCCAAAAATGAGTACTAATAAGCAATTTAATGAGGGAATTCCTTTCTTTTTAGACACAGATTAATCAGAAATAATCTCCAAATTATTATTTTTAACGTACCATCTTTTTGGTTCTCTGCTCCAAAAACATCAAAACTTGGAGCTGCTGGAGTGCTGCTGCTAGCTGCTGGCACCCCGGGGCCTACGGGTGACCCCTGAGGGATCCCTGTTTCCCCACCGATCCCCGGGCCGGGGTACAAGAGCCGCAGCTCCCGGGCCTCGCTCTCCTCCTGAGCCTGCTGCCTCCTCAGCGCCACCTGCGCGGCCATCACCCGCTGCCTCTCCGCGATCAGGGTGCACTTTGCGCACACGCAGTCTCTCCAGCGGCAGAAGCGCTTGTGGCCTTTGAGCGCGGAGACCACGCCGTGGTTCCTGCATCTGGCGCACTTCGGGGTGCGGGGGTATCCCCTCTCCAGCGCGGGGTTGCAAGCCCGCAGGAAGAGAGGCGGAGGGCGCAGGAGGGAAGGGGGCACCTGCAGGCCACCGAGCGGGTTGGCGGTGTGCCCGGCCAGGCCAAGCGGTCTGATCCTGCTGTCCATTACCTGAGGGGATGCGAATACAAAGTTTTCAGGTCGTCCAGTACTTCAAGTGTTGTGGTCTTCTCTAAGTCACTCTCTCTACTGCCGCTGGCACCCTGGACCAGCGCGCCTTAAGTGTCTCCACTCCAGGTGGTTTGACATGAAATACAACACCCTAGTCACACCCCTTTCCGCTCCAGCCTCTAAATACCATGTCATATCATGTTTATTTGCATCCCGAGTGAATAGTGGTCTAATCTGATGCAACTGAGCCTATATGCAGCTGTAGTTTGAGAAAATGTGAGGCCTGCCAAGACTAGAGTTTGCATCATCATTAATTACACTTTTAGAAATTGTGATCTGTGGGAAAGTTCCACTCCAATTTGGATTTAAAGTTATGTTTCAAATGCACCACGGTGGAAAGGGTGGTGAATTTGGTGTAAACAAGAAGCTTTTTTTCAAAAAAAGAAAAACATGTTGCCTCAGGTCAGGTAGACACAATGACCCCCTTTGGTTGCCCTACTGAGCAATGAATATTCACTATCAGGATGTCTTTAACATAACAATGGCCTTAATAGCCACAAAAGCAACAGGTAATTATCTACCTGGTTATTCTGTTGAACACATTACCTTGACAAAAGACCCATCTGTCAACAAACACCCAGCAAGATTGGTGGATAACTAATCACACCTTGTCACATGTTTCATTCATTTCTGTTCATTCAAACAGGATCCAGTTACAGGCAGCAGCTTGCCTTACCGTTATTACACGGAACAACTTGAGCATAATGTGACAAACACAGTGGTAGTCGCCAAGGGTGACACATGATGTCAGTCATACATTTGTATATATGCACACTGTCTTCCTCAACATTTTTTTATTCACTGCAAATGTCTATGCACTTGTCATGAGGAAAAAATGGTAACTAAAATGTTAATAATGATAGTATCTTCAGCTATTATTAGACTTCTCCTAATTATCTTTAGATGTGAAAGTGAGACATCTTAGTGGCTTCTCTTGGTCTCCCAGTAGTTCTGCCTCCACTAGACTATCCCTGAATAATGGATGTGGGTTAAAGAGGCAGTGGATGGAAGCACTCAACCCCCTTGTGGTGCTTCACAGAGATAATGAATCCCTGAAGGGCATCTCAGAGGAAGAGTTTGCAACAGGACAGGCCAGAAAAATTGCTTATGGCATAATACACAATGATTTGATGCAAACGTCGCTGTTATTAGTCATTAATATTAATACTTACACGTACTGACTGGTAGGTGTTTCAACTTGCTAAGAAAAGAGGATAACTGTTTTTGATACCAGAAGGTATGAGTGACACCCCTTCCTCGCACAGATGCCTGCTCCATCATTCCTTAAGTGATGGATCTTATCAGCAGCATACCTGCCCACCTGCCCCATTACAATCACGCATGTGCGAAAGGCAAACATATATTGTGCAAATACACAAAATCTGTGTGTGCACAGGTATTTGTGGTAACAAAAGCCTCCCGATAATGACTTGTGCAGAGAAAGGTTTTGAGAAGGCGAGCCTGCTATTTGCGGAAAGATGTTCCACAAGTTATGAGCCTTGATAGATAGGGGTTGGTACAGACTCACTCCAGCTCTGAAATGCATCCATCAACAAAGAATGTGAAAAAAAAACATAAATAGATGCCAGTGATGGTGCTGCTGTGCGGACGCACATGCAGCCTTTATCATTTCATCCACTGTGAAGTGGAATTTGAGGTTTGGATGTGTGGCTGGCAAGTTTATCCAGGCACATTTATCTGCTCTCACCTGGCTTTTTATACAGACCACTTACATGGTTTATATGGACCAGTTGCAGCATTTTCTTGCAGGAAAGGTGGCTGGAAATAGCATGGAATTGAAAAGCTATGTGTAAATGTCTGTGTCACTATCTGAGCTCTTAGAAAGGTTCTGTTTCAGTCTTATTTCTAATTACCCAGAGGAGGAAAATGGGACAAAAATATCTGCTTTGGAAAAGCCTCTATAAATTGGATTATGGATAAAAGCTGCAGTGTTATATTTACTCATTTACTGCCTCTTCTGTTTGTCTCTGGATCATAGGATTACTATCAGGCCTGGCTTGTTTAAAGTGTCTTCAAACCTGATCAGTTTCACCTTGAGATAAGGTCATTTCTCAACTGGTTTGTGTCCTGTTGATCATTATCAAATATACAGAACAACTAGTATATACTTCTGTTATCTCTATTTCATAGAAAACCTCCAGTTTACACGGATGATCTGATATTAGTCAGAATTTTCCAACCTCACCCCCAACACAGAACGAAGGGATTAGCAGGGACAAGAGCAGTTAGAGTAGATACGGCTAGACAGTGTCTTAATTGTGTTCTTAACAGATCTGCTCATGTCAGATATGGCGTTTAATCACAGCCATGTGCCTCCTAGGACAGGGCTTTATCAGTGCAGCTTCTTATCTGAAGCAAGGTGGCTGCTAATCTACTCCCAAATCTCGCAAAACCTGATTATGTCTCCCACTGTCAGAGAGATGGGGGGGGGGAGCTAAGGAGGTATGGGGCAGTGGAAGAGAAGCCCACAGAAGCCTTTAGACAGTAAATCACGGCATCTGGA